TGTAATAAACGAATTGCATATGAAAATAATGACCGTGAATCGTTATTTTCATATGCAATTCGTTTATTACATGGTCCACCGTTACTTCATATTTCAAGAAATGCTCGATGTGATTTAGCCTCAGAATTGACGATAGAATACATGAGTATGGCAGAAATGCCTTTTGGTCGCATAAATCTGTTTGAAACTGGCGTGCTTTTCGCTTTGTAAAAAAAATGTGAAAGGACAGAATTTTCTTGTTTCTTAATCTAAACTGCGCAAGAAATTAGGATGCAGTTGACTACAAATATATTTCTACGAAGTTTAGTTAAATAGTTAGTATGCACCAAGTTTCATACTCATTGATAGAAGATTCTCTGAAAAATAGAAGACGTTTCTTCGCTTCTGAACCGTATTCCAGCTATTTTCGATAATAAATTAATAGCTCGCAAGTTTCCGTTTCGCAGCTAGTAAACCTTTGCATACATTGCGTATTTAAGAAATTAATTTTTTCTGGTCATAGCATAAGAAGTTTCGATTTTCCGAGAACGCAGCTGCGGACCAGACGATTTTGTAACTACAAAAAGATCTTTTCGAATCTTGTAAAAAGCAAATAGTTTTAGTACTGTCACTTTCGACGGCAAATGTTTTGGCACAAGAATGAGATCGCTAGCTATTAGGGAGAAAAACTAGATGGAGTTACAAAATTCAGGGTCAATTTTTGAGGTGCTCTGATTAAAAAATTTCTCCAGCTGATATGACGCGCGAGAACTGGCCTCAAAACACACATCTATACCTATTTCCACTCAAGGAATCTGAATATCACTTCAGAAATGACGAAAAAACAAACGCGATTTTCTGAAAGGGCAACTTTTTCTGCGATTTTTGACATGCGCGCAGTATTTTGCGTTTTTTTCCATGAAAATGAGGTCTAATCGAAAAAATAAGGCGAGATTCGTGATCAGCTCGAAACGGCGAACAAGAATATGTATGCTTGAAAAAAAATATAAAATTTGTTCTAAGTTCGAATTATTGGCACCTTAAATATCTAGTGGGCGAACATTTTTCGTGGGACCAAAAATGCGGGATGCAACGATGAAAATGACAGAAGTGCATTTTAGTCATGATGCTAAAAGATACTCGAAATTAGAAAAAAATATAAGCGAGCGGCAGCTGCTTTTAAATTCATTTTATTTCAATTTTGAATAATTAAAATACATACAGACGTATTTATCCTGTGTTTCCTCTTTTTATTGCGTTCGTACAAGGACATCCTGCTTTTTGACATTTTTCTCTTTTTCCTATAGATTGGTGCTCTCTACAAATTTATCATTTATTCCGGAGAAATTGATCAATCTTTTGCCCATTGTGGAATTCAGATCAACTAGCTATGCGAGTTTAACTTTATTTAATCACTAAAGAACAGTGGCATACCTAGAACTTTTTCACCACGGGACTACATCCATTAGTTCAAAAAAATGGCTTAGGCACACTATAATAATTTCAGAAAACACGGGGCAAAAACTCTTTTTTCAAATTTTCGGTTAGAGAAATCACAAAGTTCAAAATCTTATATAAGATTTTGTAAGACGATATATAGCGCCCAGGCTAATAGTATTCGGCTATGGCCCGATGCTCTCCCCTCCACGTACTCACGCTATTACAAATCGGAAATAGTCAACTGGAATAACCTCAAGGAATTATCTCAAAACTTTGGAAATGTGAATTAAAATCTTTTATCTTAAACTCGGCAACTCATTGTTACTTGTATCCAACCAGTTGTTTTATTTTTCTCCTCTTCATAATCTTTACTTATAAAAAATGCACGCAAAACACATAGTTACGAAAAAAAGTATTTACCATGGATATCAGATTATTATTTGACAAAAGTTATTTTTGCTAACGTTGTCTTGTTTTGTAGAAAAATAAGCAATGCAAGATTCTTTAGTTGAAACTTTTAATGAATTGCTGTACAGAGAAAAGAATAAGAGATATATTACGTGTCAGTTCTTTTTTCGGCAAGGGGAAACAGAGTGACTATGTGTTTCGTTTGAATTTCTTGTAAATATAGATCATTTCGAAGAAAAAATAAAACAACTGGTTAGCTAAAGATGACAATGACTTTCATTCTCTTTCTCCCTTTGCGGGAAAAAAAAATAATACGTCATACATTCTGGATTTCTTCTAAAGGTTAAGGTAAAGAAAACTTTAAAAATTTACTTGCTCCAGAAGGCAGAAGCAGATACTTCCATGCAAAATTAGCTGCTCTCTATTTTATGAGCAGTAATTCTTGGCTGTAACTGCAATTTTGTTTGTCGCATATGGAAAGTGCATGTGTATTTTGGTCGGTTAATCGCACTTTCTGAATGGTTGTACGGATAATGTCTTAAATAAAAGATTGAGATACTCCAAAATTTTATTATACGGAAGAAGCATCTATGTTTTATTCAGAGTTTATTTTGGAAAGTCGAATTATTTACTATTGAAATTTCAGCCCCGAAAACTTTTCCTAGCAAGTACTAATTTTAGATTTTTTTATTAATTCTGATATTTAAATTTATCTAACAGAAATGAAACTACAAATATAATAAAACTATAAATAAATTGTAAAAAAGAATTTATGTGTTCATGTCTTTTCGTCCAAGTACCTTACTTAGATGAAAAGCAACACTCTCTTTTGCTTCAGGAATTCCATTTATAGTACCATCTATCGATGATAAAAATTTAATTTTTGAGCCACCTTCTTTGTTCATCTTTTTAACGTGTTTATATACCACCTTAGTTACGTCTTTCATCATTTCCGTTTCATATATTGCACTTCCATTCACTGCTACCATCGATTTTACTATCTCGATAAGACCCGCGACTTTAAAATCTCTTTGATCTAACGAGGCAACATTGTCTATAGCGATATACCGATTTGCACAATTATTCAACAGAGCTTTCAAAGGTTTATTTGCTGTTTCTATCATCTTCTCAATTGTTGTATTACTTTTCGCGATTACATCCAAATACGTAAAAATGACAATAGCATATTGCAACACATGTTCTTTAAATATACCACATATCCGTTTTAATTGCGTTGCCTTGTGCATCAAATCTATGATCAGCTTTAATGACGATTAGAAAAGCATGAGGACCGGGTGCAGCTATTTCAAGTGTCTTAACTATTTCTATATCTATAGTGCCGTTCTGGTGCATTTCTTCAATATCAAAAAATCCTGGTGTATCAATTACAATTAATCTTTTATCTTGACACATCCGTTCTCCACACTGGCATTCTTTTGTAATAGGTGCAAACTCGCGATCTGCTCTGAATTTTTCTTTTCCTAACAGCGTATTTGCGACCGAACTCTTTCCTGAAACAAATACAAAATAACAACTAGCAGTAGCAAAAACATTCTTCTTAATATTCTGATTTACCTAATCCAGTGCCTCCAAGCAAGATAAAACGGATCTCATTAGGATCACTATCTCCATAACTGTCGACCGGCGGATTATATGATTGACGCACATAGTGCGTGCGTAAACCTTTGGATGTCATCGCCTGACAATTTCTGAAAACACTAATCTTCAGCAATAACGGTTATCTGTTCTTGTCGTAGCTATAAAATATGGATTTTTTTCGTTATCTTTTCATAGCATTGAAGAACTGACACGTAAAACATCTCTGATTCTTTTCTCTGTATAGCAATTCATTAAAAGTTTCAACTAAAGAATCTTGCATTGCTTATTTTTCTAAAAAAATAAAATAGGATTAAGAGAATTAACTGTGGGAAGCAGTCGTTCGTATATTTTCGTTATGGGTATAGCATACAGTGAAAGTCATTGGAAAATTAGCTTTTCAGTTGCTGTTTGGGTTAGTCTGAAGCACTTGAGTTTACGATATACAGAATTGTACATTATATACTATGACTCATCTTGCTCATTAGAGAAACTTGTAGGAAAAGTACCCTGGGATCGAGAAATGAGTTAGGAAAGACGGTTAAAGTTGAGGTATATACTAAATTATTTTATCCATTTCTCTAATGAGATGTAAAAGCAGTTATCATGTGATGAATATTTATGAAACTATTAATAGAAAAAGGCTATATTAGAATTTTTCTTTCCAGTACTGATCACATTAGCGTTCTAGACATGAATTCAAGGATTGGGTTTTCTGATTTGCCGGTTCGTCCGACGATCGGAAAGCGATCAGAGCAACCAAAAGAAGGACCAAGTTCCTAGTCAAGTATTAAAGGAAGGACAATCAGCTGTTTTAAGTACGCGTTTTGGATCAACATGCTCAAAAGGATCAGTCCAAACAGGTGAACCACATTACGGTGTTTAGTTCTTGTTTGGCTTGGTCAAAACGTCTATCATTCAGATGAATGTCAGCAGACAATTGCGAAGCTTCGTAAAATATCACTACATTTAAGATTATTTAATGATGAAAATGAATGTTACAATTACATAACGTCGGTTGAATGTACGAAACAAATTATCATGATTGCAACTGATTCAATGGGAAAAACTATTGTACCAAAAATTAACGAATTGCCACAAATACTTTCAATTTATGTGTACTGTTTTAGTACACATACTCATTTAGAATGGGCTAGCAACTTTTCTTATGTAATTTGTGGTGTCTACGATGATATAAATGAACTTTACGAGAAAGTACCTAAAGACATTTATTCCTATACAGTAGATTTAATGACTGTGGAGGAAAAGAATTCTGAATGGCTGACACGCATTCAATATATGCATTCAATATATGGATGAAAATATTGAACAAAATGAAGAAAGAAATGTAACAAACCGAAAAAAAACAGACAAACTATTGAATCCGCCGACATTGATTTTTAGTGCAAATGCAAAAGACAGGATAATACAAGATTTGGATACACTCTTTTCAAAAAAGTTTCAAAACAAAATTGCGTCAGAGCATAACCAGACTCAGAATCGACTGAAACTCGGTTAGAAATCATTGCAATTAAAACCGTGTCTACAAAACTTCAACTTGCCGATGTCAAAACCAAGAATGATAAGGAACTAGCAGCTTAATGCGTTACACGGAAATGTGACGCCCATTCAGAAATGGCAACCTCATTTACACAATTCAAATCACGGTTAATCGAACACTTTGAAAGATCTCTTTCCTCATTTAGTACACGATTTCTTCCGCCTTCCGAACCGACCGACTTTAACATAGAATCAGATATAGAGGAATTATCGAACGAAAGAACAAGCTGACAATTGAACTCCGAGATTTCGGAGAAAAAAAAAATCTAGTATCGCAAGATTTATCTAGATCGCTAGATTTTTTCTAATTGCAACTATCGATTTATCGTCCAATAATCGATCAATTTAACTATTGCTAAATGCACATGCAGACGCATCTAGTTAAAAGTTATTTTTCCGACTAGTAATCCAGATGGCAACTAGTCATGTATCACCAGGTTAGAGACGAAATGTATCTAGATTTTTCCCATTGGCGATGTTTGTTTGGGTGTTGGAGCCTGTAAAACTGGTCTAACCTTACCGATCCAACAATCATCAAAGTTTTCCTTTAGTCATATCCGAACTATTTATGAAAAATATAATGAAACTTTTTTTGTTGAAAAAGTTTATTCTTATTCAACTTTTTCTTCGGTATATAATCCAATAAAAATAATTGTGCAACATATGTTGAAGAGAATTATGTTGATGAACTATTTGGTCATTAACAAACGAAAGAATCGATAATTTGCTTTCCATTATACACTGCATTATAACTTTCGACAAATTTATAACAATTTCAATAGTATCAAATAGATTTTTTTCATCCTAAATATAGGCGATACATATTAGTTTTTTAGCTAGTAAGCAAACCAACAAAACATCGGTTTTCCTCAAACTTGCACATGTATAGAACTGACATTTATTTGTTTTTTTAAAGAAAAAAACTAACACACATCACTGTAAGTACTGGTGTAGCTCTTCGCTTCTGTATACTGCGTAATATAAGAGTTTTCTGTTAATTTTCAAGGTCTATGCTTTACATAATGCATATACAAATTGCGTTACTTACAATATTCTTTTGGATAAAGTATCTTCATACTTATTAAGTTCAATTGGAGTTTCGAATTACTTTTAGTAGCTTGACATCCATCTTAAAATCAGCAAAAAGTTCCCTACCAAATAATTCCGTCACATTGATAAATTCATGTTGTAGCCATGTTATATAACAGGGAATAGTTTCTGTGAGGGAAGTGCAATGAAGTTCATTATAAAACTACTACGTTCAATTAGGATCAAGTTAGAGTAACATAAAATGTAATTTTAGAGAAAATTAGAGAAAATGTAATTTTATCAACGTGAACAAACTACTTATGTTTTTTCTCTTTTCTGTTGTCATTATATCTGTTTGTTTGCTTTCGTTATCATAAAGACACGTATGTATTAGAACGATTATCGCAGGCAAATAATAAAGAAAATTTTTTTCTTTTATCGACTTTCTTATACACAAAATGATGACCTTGTTATTGGGTAACGCGTCAATATGTTATCATGTTTATATTTCTATATGTACTGGTGTAGCCGTAAATGATATTGAAATCGTATTAGTATCACTTATAAGTTTAGATAAATATGAAATATTTTTTATATATATTATATATATATATTTTTAATATATTTTACAATGTATCTCTTTTGAGAAACGAATATTTTGAATAATGTTTAGATAATATGAAATCACTTATAAGTTTAGATAAATATGAAATTTAGAAGCATATTTTAACATGAAAAGATTGTCTCATATCTTATGTATTGTTTTAACAAATCTTTTTATGTTGATAACATCTCCGCTTTATCCAGCCCTATTTATTTATGCAGGTCCTGCCTTTCAACGAAATAACCCACCACCATTTAAGCCTCTTTTTCAATTGCCAGTTCCAAATTATTGTCCTCGATAAAATGATTAATCCTAATTGACGAATTCGATATCTAATTCATTGATGATACTACTGATTGTGTTGGCTCCACAATATAACTCTTTACCGATAATACATCCTTATACTGTATCACTAAGCAAAATGGTTTATCAAACGCTGTTAATGAAATAAACAAAGATTTAGTAACTATTTATTACTGGACGGTGGGTTGGAAACTTCGGTTGAATATCAATAAATGTAAAATAATGTTATTTTGTACTTTCATAAGACATACAAATCTATATTTTACAATGTATCTCTTTTGAGAAACGAATATTTTGAAAGATAATTGCGTTTCTAATTTCTATGTAGTTTTCCGTATCATTGGCAAGTCCGAAATGCATTTTGTTGCAAAAAATTAATGATAATAAATTTCTAATCTTTTTACGCTAGATTACCGTTAATAATTTATTGTCGATAAGAAGTGGAAATGTAATTTTTTTTCATATATATTAATTGACAGCTCATCCTCACCCTCACCGAAAAATAGCTCGTGAAAAGAGCTACAAGAATTACACTAGCAATAGCTTGTGATTAAAGGCTGAATGGTAGAGCAAAAACGAAATACAGTAACAGATAGTGCTAAAAACTTAGATTCATAGTGTTTTTTGGACAAAAAGTCACCATTCTCCTTTCTATCAGCCATTCCTTCGCGCATATTCTTGATCAGCTCATCAAGCTCTGTCGCTTCATATATTTGAAAAAAATTACATTTCCACTTCTTATACAAAGTAAGATGCACGTAATGCAAACTTCAAGTGAAACTTTTTCTTGGCATTATTATACATATTCAGATTCGGTTTAACGAGCTGATTACGAATACGAAAAGCCATTTCTTCATGGAGAAAAACTCAAATTACTGAGAGGACCTCATAAATACCCAAAACCGTCCTCTACGATGAAATTGACTTTTTGAGCTTGTATTGCAAGGTGGAAGGTTCGAACTATATTTTTCTGAATCAGCATTGAAAACTGATTTAGAAAAGGTTTTCAATTCATTTCAGAGGTAAACAGTCGTCCGCCATGGACGTCCGAACCAACGACTGTCAACTGGGTATGCCTCATTTTGTAAATCTATCTGGTTTATTGAGTGAAGGACTATCTCGATGATTCACACACCATCAGATTGGCCAACACGCCAGTTTTAAAAGTACGTAGAGCTTTTTTTCAAAATTCGTTTTCCGTGCTGAGAAAAACGGCTCTTACTGAAAACCTAAGAGAAACAGCAAAGAGATCTTTGGAAAACCAGACCGTGTGTAAAACTTTCCAATAGGATTGTATTGATTTTCTCCCATGCTATGATAGCCCAGGGTATCTTCTTGAAAATAAGAGTCAAGCAACACCTTGGTTTTCCGCAGTTCGGATGTTGTGTCAGATTTCTTGCGAGTCCCAGGACTGGCATCCGGTGATCGTGAACGTCTGATGTCGTTCCGATGTTTATTGAGTGAAAAGTGAACTTTTTAATAGTTGCCCAGATTTTCGTAAAACTCACTTTTCGGTAGACTGTTACCAAGCCTAACTGATACCAATCCCGGCTTGGTACCAATCCTGATTGTACCAATCCTCCAAGCCTAAGATTGGAACTGCT